GGGCAAATTTTTTTCTAGGGGGGCTGAAGTTCAGAAAGAAAAGCCATTTCTTTCTGTGACGACTTCGTGACATCTAAGCGGGGCCCGAGTCTTCCCCTCTGCTGCTATGCAAAATGAGTTTTTTCTTTCCTCTCTCTCTTGCATCCGGATGGAAGTGAATTCTTAAATTGTTTTTATGTATTTTATATATTGTAACTTATATGCACTTTGTGCTCCTGTAAGCCGCCCTGAGCCCGCTTCCGGGACAGGAGGGGTATAAATGTAATGAAAATAAATAAATAAATAAATTGAGCCAATAGAAAGCTGTTACTGGGATAGATCTCTACATTGCAAGCTGCCAACCACTTTCGATGACAGTTCTCAGCTGCTGCAAGTTAATCCCTTCTGCCAGCCTAAGCAACCATTCTGAGAACAAGCCGGCAGGTGGCGGTGATGACTTCCTGTAGACAAGAAAGCTAACACTTAAGCAGAAGAACTCTCTTCAAGGAGACCAGTTTCTTGACACAGAGTTAGAAGGGTTCCTCAAGGTCACCTACTCCAACCCCCTTGGTCAGTGCGGGAATTAGTCAACTACAGCACCCCATTCTGCTTTACAGGAGCACATGCCTTTAAAAAAATGTTTAAAAATGATTAAAAAAAACATTTACAGGAGAAATTTTTGCGGGGCTGTGCCTAAGGAAGGGGGCGGAGCCTCCAAGAGCCCCACCATTGCTACAGCCAGACCAGACACACAAGCAATGTTCCCTCAAAAGCGTGGAGTTGTGTGAGCAAAAATTCTACTTTGTGGACTACTGGCATTAAAGTCGTGAGCGAGTGACTTGGCTACTGCATAAATGAGTTGGCTCTGGAGCCATCCTCCCTGAGCGGAGACAAAAACGTTTGAGCCGGAGGCTAAGAAACGGTGAGCTAGCTCACACTGACTCAGCTTAGAGGGAACACTGCACACAAGTATTCCTTATTTCTTTGGGCGAAACTGTGGCTCAATGGTACAGCATCTGTTTGGCCTGCAGGAGGTCCCAGGCTCAATCCCTGGCACCTCCACTTAAGTGTCAGGGAGTAACAAGTGATGTCAAAGACCTCTGCCAGAGACCCCAGAGAGCCACTGCCCGTCTGAATAGACAATACTTACCTTGATGGACCACAGGACCGACGCAGTGAAAGTCAGTGCCATGTGTGTTCATGCAGGAGCATTCAATGGACATGTGTAGAATTTTAGCATATGTGAAGAGGCCACAAGAACAGCTTTGTGACCACACTTACCGCAGTGGTTCTCGTCACTGTTGTCACCGCAATCGTCCTCCAGGTCGCACTTATAGGACAACGGGACACAAGTCCCTGAGCCGTGGCAGCGGAACTGAGTGTCAACATCACATATGGTTGTCGCTATCACATGGGAAGGAAACAGGGTGATTTTTCAGGCCGTAATTATCTAATCTTGAGATACCAGCAGCCTTAGTTCAAATAAACCCATAGAGGAGATGTGCGACACGTTTCCTGATCTGACAAGCAAGGGAAGCCGTTTCCGGATCAGAACTTCGGGGCACCGTTATCTGTAGTGACTTCCCCAAATCTTATAGGGGGAGAAATCATAGCCCAGTTACAGTTAAGAGATCTGAAATCCACTTTTTGGCATCTCCAGTTAAAAGATTTCAGGTAGAAGGGCTAGCAGAGAGCGAAGACCTTGGGAATACATCGATTGTTAGCGCTAAAGGGGCTAGATCAGTTGTCCTCAGCTTTTCCATACTGAATAACCATTGCTATTTTCTTTTAAAAAAATAAATACCTGTGAGTCCCCTTGAATGCCTAGCCTGGGCAGAAGAGCAGCGCAGAAATTTTGCAACTCAATAAATATTATATTATAATTATAATAAATAAACATTATCCTAAACTGTAATACACAGCTTACTTTAAAAATATATATATATCTGTACTGTTTCCTGTTCTCTTGTAAGAACCCCTAAATTAAGACCACAGAAACTTGGTGGCACTGCACACCTCTTTAGATATCCGAAGAAGTGTGCATGCACACGGAAGCTTATACCCAGAATTGAACTTGGTTGGTCTTAAAGGTGCCACTGGACTCAAGAAGAAGAAGAAGAAGAGATTGGATTTATACCCCGCCCTTCACTACCTAAAGGAGTCTCAGAGCGGCTTACAAACGCCTTCCCCTCCCC